ATATGCTTATATTGGCTCAAATTTTTTTCCTCTTTTTTTCTCTAATCACACACTGGCCATAAACATTTTTCCATCACAAGAAGAAAGTAACTTGAGACTCTTTGAATTCATTAAAGTTACAAAATTTTTTAAATATTTTCTATTATACACTTTTGTTTATTTATGTAATGCATTTTTTGCAATATAAATCAACACATCGTTGAAAAATGTAAATATAATTGAATAAAAAATGTATACATACACACGCACGCTAAGGCTGGCTTACTCACACATAATGGCGTGAAATTGTAAACCAAAGTAAGACCAGGTGCTTCTAGTTAAATAAATTTATTTCCATATACAGCCGGATACCAAATATTTCACACAGCTTGACACTACATACATACATAAACGCGAGCACTTGAAAAAGCACACACCGATCCCTCATTTGTTGCGAAATTTCAATTAACTTTCGTTTTCGTATGGCGGCGTTATGACCAGCGTCACACACAAAATACTATATAGCTATGAAAATGATGATTACAGATTTGTATACTTTTCATACAATCACCGCGCATTTACAATTTATAACATACACATACACACACACATATACACATACAATATATTTATCCTTGATCAGTTAAAAATTCGAAACTATTGTATTGTAATATGATAATCTACTCCCCATCGACTTTAGTCATGCGATAGTATTCGAAATTTGCTATAAAGCGTATAAAGTTTTACTTTTTTATTTATGTTTCGCTTAGAAAGAACTTGACCCGATTCACGAACTTTAACTGATATTAAGACAATTTGGACTCAAGATCTCAATTCGTATTTTCATATAACCAATCTTTCATGCAAATATAGAGATGGGTGTACTAATGTGTGCACAATCAGTATGTTGTTCAATTATTATCGCGTTCACAAGATTTTATTGCTTATCTTCACTACATCTTTAGCTCTTTCTCTTTGTTACCCCTACTACCAAACCATCGAAACATATTAAGCTTATCACCCTTTCTGTAACATTAAGTCAGCTATATATATATATATATATATATATATACAGGAGCCTAAGTGTTGCTCTACTTATTATTCAAATTTTTAAAATCGCTTGGGCAGTTGAAAATCGTTCCATTTACACGAGTTATCTGATTTAAGAAATGAAGGTTGAAATTGCAAATTTGATACGCCACTAAGCCAAACTTGAACAATTAGTCGGTTTCGGCTGAAATTCTTGTATCCATCCCCTTTATCTTAAAAAGCAAGCAAAACAAACTGTAAAGAAGTAAAATTTCAATTCCTTGGATCTCTGGGCGAGGCCGAATTTTATCAGTTTTCCGCAAGAAATAAATTTTTTCTTTTCTCTTTCTTTCTACCTCTATAACAGAAGTGTTCTCAGTTTAAATACTTTAACCGATTTGGCCAACTTTGATTTCCAACTGCTAAAGGGGAAAAGTTTAAGACAATATCTTAATATTTTTGACGAGCGGTAAACTCACTATAGGTAAATCAACAAATGGATGGACGGACGGGCAAACATCCTTATATTGGTTCAAAATTTGATATTGATCTGTGTCGTTTTGGATCGTGCAAACGTTTTGACAAAATGAATATATCAACATTTTTCGGTGGTCGTAAAAAATAAAGTTACTGCAAATTGCAACTTGTTTTCGCTGACAGTTACATACTATTGTAGATATCAATTACAAATTCCATACGAATACGAAAAAAATGACTCCAGTACATCCTTTCGCATGCGATGAATTAGTAGAAAAGTGCAGGATATTTATATGTTCGCATTAGATGTGGTGAGTACATGAGATATCTCGGAACATAACTTTTTTGAACTCTTGCACACTTTTCATTAATTGATATCTATTAGGTAGTCCGGAAATTTAATACAGTTTTTCCCGACATCAGGTTAAAATAAGTTTTTTTAGGCGACTAGACCGATAATGTTAAAGGTGCACCACATACTTATGTATGTATGCATGTATGCAGCCTTACGTCTATTTTGTAAAAAACTTTCAGTGATCGCTTGCGTTATAGTAGTGAGAGACATATAGTAGGAAGACGTGGAAGATCGAGGGGAGCATATAAAGCATATTTTATTTTTTATTTCAAAGGAGGGAAAAAGAGTCGTAGCAGCACATAGAAATATATGTGCTGTGCAGGATGCAGTTGCCAAATTCGTTTTGCGAAGCTTCTTTCTGGAAATTTCCAGTGAAAGCTTTACCGTTCACTGAAAGCTCCAGAGTTCTTGTAGGCCAAATACTATTGCTGACGACCAACTAAAGATTTCGATTCGTGAGATCGCAGGAAAAGTTAATTCATTCAAAACAACAACAGTATTTCTTATATAAAAAAAAAAAAAAAACATTTCATTTCATGGCGAAAAGCCGCAAGACGTTTCCGGACTACCTAATATTATTGCTATTATTAGTTTTATTGCATTTTTTTATGGGAATGCCTCTGTTTAACTAATGCTATATAAATGCATTGCTAACTTCAATTTTAGTATCGTCCGTGGAGAGGCAAAACTTATTAAGCATAAAGGAATTTATAAGCATTTGATGCATTTTGCTTGTCGATAGACCATATGCAATAGTTTACTATGTACCAGCATAGTGCATAAAAGATTTGCAAAGAATGCAGTTATGGATCAGGGACACGTCAAAGGATATATTTACTCTTTATCGAGATGAATTGCGGAATAGCTCTTGTTTGTCGAATTTTTCTTATCATTTTTATACTTTCTAGATTTTATCTAAAAAGGCAAACGTAACCCCTAACACATGCGGTCGCCTCACTATTGTAAAAACTGTTAATGTGTTTCCTGTCTTCTAAATTCTAACCTCAAAATTGTAGAAAGCTTTTAAGTCGCATTAATCGAGCTTGCCTGTGTGCCTCTGTGTTTTCTTGTCATAATTGCCATCAAATTTGATATTCCAGAGTAAAAGTCACAGTAAAATGTTCCTCTCTTTACCTTTTTGTTATTACACACAAGTTATTAAGTTACGAAAACCACAGAAGAAAAGTAAATCCTTGTGGCTGCTTTGTGACTTGTGGCCTTTGTGTAATGTTGTTCAGAATACGGCTGTAAGTTTTAAGCTTTAACAAAATCTCGTGGTCAAGGAAACGCATAAATGTAAGGAGGAATAAGTGCCCAACTTTTTCATGCAGTCGATATATCGATTGAATGTATCTTCGATCCGTCCTGCAATCAATTATTATACAAGTGAAGAGCGGGCATTAAAAGGAGTTGCTCCAAACGGTGTATAACCTCTTTGCTGTGTTACTTAATTAATCGAAAAGCTTCACTGGTAAGTTTTTGGAACTTCACAACATTATTTTTTAGAATAAACAAAAAACTTAACGTAACGCTTCGCCCATCTGTTGATGCATAGCTTAAGGTATTCATAATGAAAACAAAATGAAGTCATGTGGACTTGGCTTGTAGTCATGCAGCATAAAGCCTAAAGATAGTTTTTTAACATACTTAAGTTACAGTATTTTCCAGTTCCACTGGAAAAAAAAAGAGTTCATAGTTTTAGTACACGGGCAACATGCACAGCATGCTCAAACGATTGCACTATCGTGACTTTACTTGCACCGCATCCCACAGATCAATGTCTTATTTGATATGTTGTCCTTATAGCCATATAGGTTTGTCGCTGTGAAAGGTAATTTTACAAACTTGTAAACGAAAGAAGTGATTTAAAAATGAAGGAAAAAATTTCATTTTTTTTTTTTTCAATAATATTTTCTTTTTAAGGAAGAATCACTTTTGTTACTTTTAGCATTTCAACTTTCCAAACTATCAAACAATTCAATTCAATGGTTGGGACAATGCACATTTGGGCAACATTTTTCGAACTATCCACAACTTGGAGTCGTTGTAATCGCCGTGAACAAAAAAAAAAAAAAAGAAGAAAACGGTAAGCGTTATGTACACTTGAAAACGTGTTCGCATCAGTCAGGCAGGGAAATGCGTATAATGCGTAAAATATTGCGGTTTTTATTCGCATGTTGGTAAAGGTCGTCTGGCAAGTTACGCTCGAGGGAGCTATGAAAACGAGTTAACATTTTATTTACAAACCCAAGGAAAAGCATGCAAAAAATGAAGACAATTTTTAAATATTTTTTTAAAATGTTTTTGTTTTTTTTGTTTTTTAATTTTTTTTTTTAATTTGTTACTACAATAAAATAAAATTTTCTTTTAAATATACACATACACAAAAGTTGTCATACTATAAGAGCTAAATACAGATTTTAAATTTATTTTCAAATTTTTCTTCAATTTTTCTTTTTTCACATAAACTATTCAAAAATATTAATAACATCTAAATATACTTTCCATTTTCATTATTGTTTGTTTTTTTTTTATTTTTTTTATTTTTTTTTTTTTTACTTTTACATTTTTCATACTTAATTAAATTACAAGTAAATCTTTGCATTGTCGTGTGTTAAGGGTTCATTCAGTAAGTGTTACACATGAAAAATATTTTCCTATATACTAAAAACTCTTGGATTTCTTTTTTAGCTAATAAATAACTAGTAGAAAAAAGATTTTACTAAGTGTATTTGTTTTAATTTCTTTTTTATTTATTTATTTATTTTTATTATTTTAATTTCTTTTTCTAATTACATGTATACTTAAAGTGTTAGAGAATGTTTCCTTCTTTCTTTCCTTTTTTTTTTTTTCTTATTTGAGAGTTACGGTTATAAAAATTATATATAGAATTTTTTTAATTTTTTTTTTTTTTTCAATTTCACTTAAAATTAATAATAGCTCATGGTTTGTAGTATTTTTACAGAAAAAATGGAAAAATTGAAGATAATATCAAGTAAATTAATGACGTTACACATACACATTTAAAAACAACATAAAACTTTTATATTTAATTATTCACCATTAAACCGAACCTTACGCATTACTCTATAAAACAAATTAACATTTAAACGAGAACGAGACCGACAGAGAGAGGGAGAACGTGAACTTTGGATATTGAAAATTACAAAAAGAAAAAAAAAAAAAAGGAAAAAGCAATTATTTCTGACACTTTTTCTTATTTATTTTCTAATCTATTTAAAGTCTGTGGTCTGTTTCAGTTTCGCTTTAATGTTCAAATATTCAGGATTTACGTATTGTTTGTCTTCATCGTTTTCTGTTTCCTGTTGGCGGGCTTGTTCATGTTTTTGCGCTCGTTCCATTATCACACGACTCAATTCACCTTTAAGGCCTATAGTGGGTGAATGCTGGTCATGCTGTTGCTGTTGCAGTTGTTTTTCTCTTTGTTTCTCATAAGCTCTTTGCAGTTCAGATTTCTGATTTAAAACATTTATACCCCTGTATAATGTGTAATAAGAATAGAAAAATCAAAAAAAAAAAACATTTCTATTTCATAATTCTATATATATGAAATTTTATTACATTTTTGTGGTGAATTTCAATTCGCGATGCAATTGTTTGCGATCCGTTGATTCGAGACAGGGATTGATCAATTTCTTTGGCAATATCAGACCTTCGGCATCTGTTTGTACACCTGACGGTGGCGACGACATCATTATTCCTGTTGGCGGTCCTATGGTGGCTGTTTTCTCTTGTTCGTTCTCTAAAGAGAGCGGGACTATCGGTAGTCTATTCAAGGCTTCAGAGTCGGTACCTGAAAACAGAAGAAAAAAAAAAATAGACTTTATATTATGCTAATCTCAAGGAGACCTTTAAAGCAACGAAGACATTTTTATACATTAGTTCTGTACGACATAAAGTTTAGTGTGATATTTGGAGAGTCCTATCATACTCGGAGCCTGCACTTAAGAATTTCTTCTTATATCCTCAAAACATTGCTTCTGAACGCTTTTAGATATCAATGACTATCGTACAAGCAACTTTTCATTACACTCACTCAAACAATTGGGAAATGATACAGTGTTTCATTTTCGTAAACTTTACTGACTGTTATCGGGCTGGAAAATGATTCAAGCCAACGCTAATGCGAAGTCAAAGCGAGAGCATACAATATATGCGAAGCTTCAGTCTGCCATCTTCTTCTTGAATTCTTCATTAGATAATTAGATGACTGAAAGCAAATGTTGCTCCATAACATCATTTTACACTAAATGCTGTTATGGAAGAATTAACTAAATAATTGTTTTGTTATACTAAAATTATTCACTAATTTGTTTTAATTTCTTAAATACCAGCAATTAGATAATGACGAAAAATACTTATTGCATTTTCAATTGAATTTTATTACCTGTAATATTATAAAATTATTAGTCTTTAGACTTTACAATACCTACAAATCAAGGCATACTTTTCATCAACGTCCTGATCTTGGAGCTTCCCCGAAACGTCAACTGACATAATATGTGTACATGACATATGTTCTCATCATTGTAATAAAGCAATTTTCATCATGAAATATTTTTCCACATAAAAAGTTAGCTTTCATAGGAATGCAAAGATAGCATGATAGGCAGTTCAAAAAATTGCTCCATCGGATCAAAATTTTTCACATGAATTTGTTATGCCGAAATACTGCTACTTAGCATTTTTTTTTTCGCGAATTCCTGAAGATTGTAATATTTTATACTAAGGCTTTGTTAAGTGTTAGTACGTATGTACGTAACACCTAGAAGGACTTAGGATAGGTCTATTTGTTATTCTACCGATTGATTCGGAAGCACTTTCTGAATCGATCTAAGCTTGTCTGTCCGTCTATACTTCTTGTGTTCAACCTAAATGTCACAGTTTGAAGAAATTTGATACACCGACATGTCATGGTCCAAGGACGGAGTTTCTTGAAAATATATAGGTATAGTGTTTTCACCTATTGCCAGACATTGAACGAACAGACAACCGGCATAATAAAAGGCTAATCTATCTTAAGTCCCTTTTGGTGTTGCGTATAGCTGCACAAACATAATATATATGTGTACTCGATACCACAAGTGCTGTCGAGCGTGATCACAATTAAATTATTTTCTGTTTCTAACCTATTTTCAAGAATTTTTTTCATTACTTGAAGACGTTAAAGCATTATTGGTGCCAATAGGTCCCGACAGTTCAACATTTATTTGCATCTCATTATTTTTCAATAATTTTATTTATTAATTTTATAGATTTATTTCAATATATAATTTTACAAAAACTAGTCACACTTAACATTAGCTCATGAACGTCATGTTTATCGATAATAAACACATTTTATGAAGCATTTAAATAGCATTTTTATTTCTCACGAATACAATGTGATTAGCCGATCATGGATATAGAATTTGATATAAACAATTTCTCTTTCGAATTTAATTCATTGACTGCAAATCTTCTCTTAAACCACATTTTTATCTTTACCGCTTAGCATATGTTTGCAAATACATGTAAAAAATGTTGACATGAAGTACTTTAATAGCAATTAACATACATGTGCCTCTGCACATTGTATTGTATAAAAATCTTTATATTATTTACAATTTTTTCACAAGCATTCATACCCGAAGACAAAGGCAAATACTTGCAAAAGCATATTTTGAAAGCATTGCAAGAAAAAATTTGGGTTAATATGACAATTTGCCAAATGTTTAAAGAGCTCTTGATTTTTTTTTTTTTTTTTTTTTTTTGTACCTTTCCCCAGTGAATAAGCCGGCTTTGTAGCGTTATAGTATATGTGCATGTGTTAGGGAACGTTTTGATATCTACGTGAGATTCGAAAAAGTGGAGGAAATTTCAGTTAACCGCTTAACTACATAATATATTCGTAGTTCATCAAACCTAAGTTTAGGGAAAACTTGTAGTGCGTCTACTTGTCATTGAAAAGAAATTTTGATATGAACGATAATTGTTAATAAAGTGTTACAGGAGAGATATATGTGTTTTCGCGATTCGTTAGCAACCACGTCCGCGTCTACAACTCTCACTTATTAAAACATTGTTTCGCTTTTCAAACTAGACATGAAATTCTGTTTTTATAACCTAACAATTATTGCTGGTAAGAAGAAAAAAACAAGTAAGTGAGCTATATGCGCCTTACAGTGAAAACGGCATACCAGCCAAACTAAAGCAATTTTTTCAAAAATAAATCAATATTCTCTTTGTTGCCCCTTTGACAACGAGCCAACTACTACACCCATACTATTCATATGGCACTTGTACATTTTCGCATCAAGTTCAAGGTTAGCAGTTATGAATTTCATTTTTGTCAAACTGTCAGAATTTGAACTAAAATTAAATATAAATTTCTAAGGAAAGTTCTCCCTTGCCAACCCGATAGTATTATTATTCGTATACCCAAAATTTCTTTTTGCCGAGTAGGCAAACAACTCAATGATCACGGATTCAAATCCCAAGTGCGGTAAAGTTTTCAATACAGGCGAGCATATCACCTAAGTTATTCGGGAGGCCTTTAAATGCATACTCTGCAAATTTACTTATAGAGATAATAAGTAAGAGATAATAAATAAATAAATATTTGTAGTATTCTTTGCGTTCAATCGTGTGTTAGTTGCGCGTGCGTGAACGTTTCTCGGATCGTTGAAAAACGCCCAACAATGCGTGCACAGAATTTCAAATATCAGTTTTGGTACGACAAACATAACGATAATATGAGCATACCGTTATCCTCTGGTAGCGGATAGAAAAGATCGTAGAAAGTAGTTTTTTTTTTTTTTTTTTCTTGAAAAGGAAAAGAAAAACTCGTATGTTTTAGCACGTTAGACATATGCACGGACAGCTTACACAGTAGATGGCATATATATGGATTCACAACCATTCATCCATACATAGAAAAATCAAGAGCCCAAGTCATTAAATTCATTTACAACATTCCCGTGATTATCCAATGCTTGTTGGATTTTTAGCGCAATTTCGAGGCACATCTACATTCATAGTTGTCTTTATAATGAAATGTTGTCTGGCAAGTTTTGGTTGCGTTCTTGTTGCCTACCGCTCTTTGTACTTTTTTCATTCTAATTTAGTGTAGCGATAGTTAACCTTAATTTCTTTTAAAAGAACAAAGAATAAAAAAAAAGTGTTTTTATTGAAAAATGTTAAAAATATTGAAATTTGTTGTTGTTTCAACTAAAAGTCAATTAAAAGTTACATAAAAAATATTTTAATTGCTTCTGATGCGGGTAATGGCTGCAATAATTTATTTATGATGAATTTCGTCTCAATTTGTATCACATGAGAAAGCGAATCGAACGCAATGCATTATAATAAATTTATTCATACATGCGGCAAACATTTTAGATTTTTATTTCAGCACAAGATCGTACCGTCCTACGTTACTCAGTCCCAGTCAGTTCTAATTACTCAGACATGCGACATGAGGAATAATTAAGTCCGTCCGTCGTCATTTTTTTTTTCTATTAAAAAAACTCTTAAGAGAATTAAATTTCTGAAATAAGTAAGTGCATGCTCGTCATAAATTGGAAAAGTCATCAACTTTTAAAGGAATACGAACAATATCTAATTTGTGTTATAACAGATCTCAATCTTTAGTTTGCGAGAGGTATTTACATCACATTTCATGGTTTGATACAAGAATGACTTACCTCGGTTTACTATTTACAAATGTCATTTTTATATCCTATACCACGCGTGGTGCAGGGTTCATTAATTTAGTGGCTTGGTTAGCAGTTGTCGTTGGACCCAGAAGGACTAAAAATGGAACCTGTTTTAATTTTTGATTAGATTTAAGCTTGTCTGTCCGTCTTAGATCTGCTCATTTATTTTCGTGTTCGAACAGGAATTTTTTAGTTACTTTGACATTGAACACTGATGAGTTTTGGCCCAGGGATGAGCCCTATTGAAAAGGCGTTGGATAGGATCATTTTTAGAACCTTTTTTTTAAAAGTCTTTTTTTTTAAAGTCGTTAGATGAAAAAAGCTTACAATTTCAAAAATTTCTCCACAAAATTCGCAGAACTCTCTCGTATATGATCGTTCTCACGCAAGATAAACCTCCATATGGGAAGAAAGCCTAATTATCTTAGAGTAGAAATTGATAGGTAAAGAGAATTTAATATTTAACCTAACCTTGCCAAATTTGGGCAACATAAGGCTGTACGTGAAATAAACCTTTAGGTGATAACGAAACCTACTTTAAAGTACCTTTTAACGAAAATGTATGGAAAATAATAATATTTTTAAAAAGAAAATTAATTATATCATATTTAGATTAGGACAGTTCTTATGAATAGGATGCCTTTACATGAAAACGAAGTATAATCTTTTGAATATCATCACGAAAGGAAATAAAGAACGATATTAAGTGAAGTAGTGCAAGGTATTTAATGGTCGACCTTACGCAACCCTTCTTCAACGTTATTTGTTGGCGACGAGTATCGAATTTTTCTAAGTTTACCGCACCGAGCAGCCGCGCACATAAGAGTCGCGAGTCCTAAGTCAATATTTTCACGCAGTGCCTTAGAGTACACCTGATGCTGGCTGTAGTGCGGTCACTCCCTCACATACTCCTTCTCCTTCTCCACTTCTTTCTTATCCTCAACGTGATACATGGAGAGGTAACGTCCCTGATTGAAAATGAAATTTCTGAAAATGTTCGAAGAGCAATAAAAATAAATCATGGTTGCCGATGCCTTTCCAGTCGTATTGAACTCAGGACGATTAACAAATTTTTTTATGACAAGTTAAATTAACGAAAACGTCGGAAGAATATGTGGTAATTGCCATCTGTTTTGTAGATGTTATAAGCAGAGGATTCGCTTGTGAACGAGAAGAGTCTAATCGTGAGCTTCGAAGAAGAAATTGATCAAGGACATTGTTGTGGTCAGTCAAATGGAATGTTGTGCAATGTGCATTAATTGTTAATGCTTCAGCTGGTTCTTAAAATAAATTCCTTTTCAATTGCTCCTTTATTGTTAAAAATAAGTTCCCTTGATTTTTGAAACAATTTGCTATAAATAATTTTTCTATTATTGTAAAAAAAAATCCTGTGCTACTCGCAATCCAATGGTGTACAAACTTGATTTATGAGATATTAACGATAACAAGTAACACGAAGAAGAATTTTACCTCCTACCTAAGTACGAAAACCGTAGGTATATTAATTAATGTTGCAATACATAGAAATACATATGTATGAGTATTGTTACCAGTATAAGATTTCAAACAAAAATATTTGTTCTGGTTCGAGATTAAACATATCTTTTAATAAAATGAAATATAATTTTAATGAAATAAACCCACTACAGAGATAATGTTGATTAATACAAGCAAATCATTGATTGAATAGTGTGACGAAAGTGTATATAAACAATTTCCCGATTACAAAGAGGTTAAACAATCCCGATTACAAATCAAGAATAATAAACAATAATTTCTAAACATTATGCAACAGAGTTTTCAAAGTTTCTGCTATGCCCAAATGATTTTTATATCAATTTCATATGTTCTTGATGATCAACTTTAACTCTAGAATTATCCAAAAAAGAACAAGAGAAACACTATAGGAGAAGTGATCGAAAACGTTGTCCGATCCGAATCATTTTCAATAGCATTCGTCCTGGGCCAAAAGCAAGTCGGTGTATCAAATCTCACCAAAAACCGATCTGCGAGTTAAACATCACAAAGCAAAACGGACGGATGGACATGCGTAAAGGGCAAGACGGTCCAATAAAAGTCCATCTCAAACCCTTCTGAGTATTGCATACATCCTCACTCACTCACTTATAATAACATGCTTTTGTAGCAAAATTTATGTGGAGTGAGTATAAGAGCAAGTGTGATCTGGAATTTACTGGAATTCTTTTTTGCGTTTCCTGCTACCTAAACGTTTGTTTTGTGGGTTGGTATAGGGTTTTTTAGGCTTGTCTTGGCATACAAACAGATCACATCAATTGTTTTCACTTTGGACCTTTAGTTGATCAACAAGTATTTCTAGAAAATTTCATTCTCCCATTTTCATTTTTATGAGAGCAGCAATTGCGCATAGATTATGGATCAAATGGACCCATTTTCGTAGGAAAAAGTGTAAGTACGACTACGGTAGGTCTAGTCTTGAAAGGAAAATGCTAGTCATGCGGATGATGATTGCAAATTGATCAGGAAATGAGAAATGCCTTACGAAACGATTTAATTTGTAGCATATTTCGCAAAGAAGACATCGCTGCAGATAGCCTTTGCTCAAAAAATATGTGATGGATGAATAGCCGCGAAATAGCTTCCTTACTTGGGTAATAATTCATGGTCGTGCTTTCAACTATTCTGAGAGCGGAAGTGAGATCGTCAAGTTATATTGGAAATGTAATTAATATTAAGATTATACCTTATATTCCAAAGTCTACTTTTAGAGAAACAAGTACATTTGGTGCTCAAGGTCCCATCAGCACTTAAAGTTTTCGCTAGGAGAAGCTTAGCTTTTTTAAGAATTTTTAACTAAACGTTAATGGCGACTTTCTACAAACCCCATCTTCATTTCTGGTATAAGTCTTGGGATGTTGATAAGGTTTTCTTTTCAATTTTTCACTTTATCCGTAAATACTGTAGATGCGTTTGCAGGAAATTACTCCTCTTTCTTGACTTGAACTAGTAACACTAGCACTACTAATACTATTTCCGGAACGTTTCAAGTCTCGATATTTTATGACATTATTGATGGTTGTTGGAGATCTGTCCATGTGCATGTAGCTGATAAGCTCAGGCCATTCAGATGAAGAATATCTATGCACTAGATATATGTAAATATATGTGCCTTCAAAGTTTCAAGGCATATTTCTGATTGTCGCGGAGGACAACTGACAAAATTAATCTAGTTTTCACTTTTTTTTTTGTCTGCAAAAACTTTAAATATCGAATGCGGTTTTGTTGTTGTGTGATGCAAATTTTGTCCACAATAATACTTATCGTCGTTTATAATGACCCTGTTTGGTCGAACGTGCATACAATCTAACTGTTGCTACAAGACAATATGGGTTTTTAGTCAATCGTTCGACAATTGGTGCTTAAATCCAAAACCAGTTCCGTTAAAGGCAATTAAAATTTTTGTTACTTGGATCGCTTCTAAAGCAAGCACATATATCTACATACAAATATATACTTATAGCGCAACGCAAGATCAATAATTTCTTGTTATTTTTCTTGTTTTTTTTTTCTTGTTTTTGTTTTTATATTTTTCTTATTTTTTCGCACACATTTAAAAAACTTACTTTCAAAGGCCTTCATGCGATTTAATATATCTGTAGATATATGCGATTTATTCATAATGGAACTGCAAATATGTCTGCATAAATAATGTGTGTGTGTGTGTGTGTGTGTGTAATTTTCTTTTTGAATTTAAATTATTTGATGTCGTATGTAACCGAATTCATAAAACACTGAATTCAACCAAATCAACGAGCGAATCTAATTGAATTTAGCAAACAAATTGTAATAAAACCAAATAGAGAAAATAACACAAAGCACGAATACAGCGCACAACAAACAACTATTTTTGTCCCAGGCTTTCAAGTACAAATTTGGATTTGAATTTCGTTTCACATTTTTCACAAAATTTTTATTTTATTTTTATTTATTTTTTCTTGTTTCCTTTTAAGGTAATGAATGCTTTTCTATTGTCGCCCGTTTCGTTCAGCCTGGCTTGCAAAGGTGCCAAGAACGTTTGTCTGACGTTCTAGACACATATGTTGGCCAGTAGTCACTGTTGCAACAGCTATCAACTTTAACAGTAGCAGTAGCACAACCGAAAACACGAAAATATGAAAAACGAAAGTGTTTAAAAAAGAGGAGACACACATTTCCAAATGCATGCAGGCAGCATGCGCCACTACTCTCGTGCTATATATTACCGAATATAGTATAGAATGTAGCAATACATAGCAATAAAATGCAATACATGCACGAACATGCCTATAAACATATATATATACACGTCATGATAATACCAAAGGTAGAAGAACAAAAAAGCAGTAACAACTACATTAATAGCATAATCGACGCTATACACTTACACATTCATATTTAACAGCTTCCTAATAGTTTCATGAGCACAAACGTATATAATAGAGAAATCGATAAACTTTGTTAAATATAGTGAAAATTATTTACATGCATGCACACGACTAAAACGACCAGAGTGGGTGGCATTATGCACATAGCCGGTCTATAACATAACAAAAAAAAAAAAAACAAAAATCCAATAATCATTGGCGATGGCCTACATTTTTGTTTTGTTTTGTGTTGCTTTGCATTTTCTCTCTTTCGCTCTCTCTCTCTCTCTCTCTCTCTCTCTCTCTCTCTCTCTCTGTCTCTCTCTCTGTCTCTCTTTTGTTTGTTTTTCTTTTTTGCTTCCCTATATACACGAAAAAGAAAACCCATATAAAATGTTAGTTAACAACCTGGCTTTCTTGTTTTTATTATATATTATATATATTTATATATATATATACATATATACATGTATTCCGCTTGTCTATGAATGAGTTGCATTTCACTTTCGTTATCAAGCAGCGAAAAACAACCTTTCCACCTTACGCCCATATATGGAGAAATTTGATATTCATAAATGCCTTTCATCTACACTAAAATATATACATCCTTGATTCATCAGGACAAATATATATGCTTTATCAACTCAAACATATAGCCGTATGTATAACATGGTTATGGCCTAACAAGGATTACATGAAAAAGGACCATTTGGCTTAAATTTGAAAAGAATTGATTTAAAACTTCACTGATGGACTATAAATAATATGACGACAGAGGTTTTAATTTTGTGTGTGTGTGTGTGTGTGTGTGTACAGGGCAACAGCCATCTCTCTCAAATCTAAAACGCCCATAGGAAAACACTCAAAATAATTACCTTTCACATAGCGGATGAAGGCGGTGTGAAAAACCATTGGCTTAATAATTATTTCCACCTATGAAGTGTAACAAAATTTCCGTCACATCGAGTGTACGCACAAAAATTTTTCAACCAAAAATAATAAGTCAACAATTATCTCTCTTAAATGTACCTTGATCCAGTTTAGCGTGTCTCTTAACACAAACAATGAATAAAATGCGCCTAAAACGACACCATACAAAATTCACATTATCTTTCATCAAGAAGTAGACAACGAAATATATTTATATGCAGAGCCCAAATCAATGAAAAATAGACTGAAATTTACTGCTTTCGGTTTGCAAAGAAATTTACTGATTCCCTTAGTAGGTGACAACAATCTGAAAAATTTTTGAACCAAGTTGTACACTGTAAGAAACAGACTTTACTTGAAAGTAATCTCTGCTTTGCATATGACTGCAAAATAAGATCAGGAAATCTTCACAGGATTCACATCAATGTTGCATTTTAAGCTTATAAAGGGTTAAGCACAATAAGTGCGTAGGCATTTTGCATTGTTGTCGTGAAGAAATTAACTCTTAAATAACTAGAACGTGTAGCCTACATTGCTTTACTGCGGGAAGAGCATACAAAATGCACAAAGTCGATTCGAAACGCTACAGGAACTACCTCTCGCAAAATGCCTACAAAGAGTTCAGATACCAATGCGAACGCTGCAGCCATTTAATTGCTATAACTTGGCAAAATCATCATTGGCAACAATGTGACGTATTCTCTCGGATAAGCCCAGGCCGCTAACAAAGTATTACTAAGTGACTCCTTTGAGTTCATATAATATTTTCCTTTTCCGTTAAGATCGCACCGGTCGATTAAAAGCGAATTAAAAGAAGATAAAACTGAAAAAGAGTGCGAAAAAATGCCAACAAAATTATTGTTCGAATAGAAAATACTTTGAAAAAGATGAGGAAAGACTTCATTTTACAAAATTCGTCCGTATTTCCTCAACGTGTCGCTTATTTAAATAACGCCCAATAAAAAATTTTTTTGCTTATTTCAAATGTAATAACATAGATAACGAACAGCGATAGTAATTGACTTGAGCCAAATAAAATTTGTTCCTTATTTGTTTTATTATTTTTTTTTTTTAAGTAGGCATGCGACTGTGTTACGTTATTTGTTAAAAAAATCTTACTAAATGCAAATATATGCATAACAAGACAATTGTGGCCATATATGTGGCGTGAAATTTATTTCTTCCTACACGTGCAGGTGTCTTCCTATATAATGTAAACAAAAAATAGAAAAAAAAAGAAGAAAAATCTCTCGTCATTGTGTACAATATTTATTTATTTATTATTTTTTTTTTTTTTCTTATTACTTTACACACACCAATGGCAAATATATAATTATGCCTCTATATGTACGTATTTACAATCAACCGGTACGACCACATACCGGTCTTGTGTGGCATGTCATCACTTTATTTCACTTAAAGAAATTGCACAAAAATTAATAGGCTTGGTTGACAATAAAAAATAAATAATAAAAAAAAAATTTAAAAAAAAAAACTTCTAAACACGGAATTGCGTACAAATCAAGTCCAGCAGCAACCCAGCTAACTAACTAACATATGTTCACAGTTGGCTAATCTTTTAATACGCAAAAATCATGCAGAGTGTTGGACTGTTTGTCGAACTACGTAACCATCTTAATGCAGTCTATGATAATGTCAACATTTAAGCAACTGTTTTTATTTAATATGTTAGTTAAATAAACCGCAGTAATAAAGAAAAGTCAATATTAATATTTCCAACTGGCTGACGGCATAAGTATGTGTGTGAATGCACTTAAACACAATATGTTGTCTTAAACGTTTAGATAGATGTAATAGCTTTGCTTAAATATATGGGCAGATATTCTTTGAATATGGCACAAGGAGATAATGTTAAGTCTTTCTTTCTTTCTTCCTTCCTTTCAATCTAATTAAAAGAAAACATTTTAAGGATATTCTCTATTACCTACTCACAATGTGTAACGGAGCATAACGTCTTCCTTTTTTTTTTTTTTATTTTGTTTTGTTTTTAATTCAATGTAATACAAGAGTTTGTCAGGAAAATCTGTTATGAAATATATATATATATATAAATATATATATAAAGAAAACGTACTTTCTTTTGTGCTTTCCTGTTATTTTCACAGAGAGCATAACGAAAAATTTTAGTTAAAGTTTCCAACGTTATTATTATCTAAGAGCATGGAATTTTTATGTTGAGAGTGCACTCGGGCTGCTTCAAGTATTTAATAACAATTATTGTTACATATGTAAGTAAGTATTTTATATTAAGTGTAATAATAGGATGGGAAACTAAAAAGCTACTCTTACACAATGACCGAACGTTTCATGCGTACATTTTTGTTATTGTTATCCTATTTCTTATATAGTGTTCCAGATTGACAAGTGCATGAATGAGTACGTAGCAGTGACTCTCAAGTAACATTTTGGCAGCCATTTTGCTCCATGAAGCCAACTACAACTAGGATATCAGAATTATTTCACACGAGTTTATTGTTTTTAACAAACGATTACTTACTTACTTACTTACTTACTCACTCTCTCTATTTGCGTATATGAGTCATGCATTTTCCTTCTTTTTTTTTTTTTTTTTGTTATATGCATAGTTTGTCAGGACCTAATTTATCGGTTGCTATGATAGCACATATATGTATGTATATATATATATATATATGAGTGTAGAGAGAAAGGGAGAGAGAGAGAGAGAGAGAGAGAGAGATGGAGAATAAAATACGTTATTCGCATCGCAGATGCTTAAAATTAGGTCAAGGTTTTATGGGTCTCTTTCTTTCTCTATGTCTTTCTCCATCTTTGCACTCGAATATCATTTTCTAGGTCATTGTTGCAGCTCAATAACAAAGCAATGCCGCGCTCACTCGATAGCAGGCCATTGCAATGAGGTTAAAGTTTGTAACATATTGAGAGTTTCGGATATTAAAGAGAAAATAGGCTGAAGGCTTATTAAAATCTCAGTGAATTTTTTAAAATAATATTTTCATTGCAAATATTATTACGTAAGTTTTATGAAAACATCATCATTATTTAATAAATTAAAATTTTGTTACTTAAGTGCTTGTTATTGCGTGCGCGTTGTTTGTTGTTTGCAACTGAATTTTTGATATGAGGAAATTATTGCGAGATATCGCTTCAATCTGAAAAAATCGCTGTTTTAGAAAAGTAAGTAGGAAAATAAGCTTAAGGAATCCAATGGCTGCCCTTGTTACGTTACGTTAAGCGTAAGAATAAATTTGTGCTGATAAAAAGTTTCAATCAGTTTTATTTGAAAGGAGTCACAATTTTTTATTTTTTCACTATGACCAATCGCTTAGGGGATGGAAAAGAAACGAAAAAGGGATGGCCGTAGATAAGCTGTTGTTTGTCAGTTTTATTTAGAAGGAGTAACAATTTTTTTTATTTTTTGACTATGACTTTTACTTAGGGGATGGGAGAGGGAACGAAATAGGGAAATGATGGCCGCAGATCAGCGGTTGTATGCTCAATCGATAAGTGTTATGCCTTTACTGACTGAGAAAGAAAGAAATATCTACTGCACTTAAGATTTGAACCTGCGGACACTGACTTGGTAGACGCGATTCTTACCCACTCAGCTACTCAAGCGGAGTAATTAGAGTAGCCATTTACTTTCAGCCTGCCTCGATGCAGAGTTTTGCTTTCCACTTGAAGATTGATTGGCCAATTACATACTTATTTATGTATATTAGGCTCCTAAAGACAATCATCATGGATATTTAAGACTTTCGCCCAGAAACAGGCAACAGTTTTTTATTTTAAAATATATGCCCTGAACTTTGTTTTTTATATGACCAGTCACTCAAACGTTATCGCCTATGCGTGTAATAAGATCAAGATACTCAGAAAGCGGAGGAAGATGCAGGCATGGTCACCAAGTGATAAATGTTGCGAGTCTACCGGCTAACCACACATTCTAGCACCCACTTGGCAGCCGCGCTTCTTTTCTACTCAGTTGCGCGGCAACCACCCATGGCGCGGAAACCCGCATTGTAGCCACAACGTGCACCCGTTTTGATGCTGCCTACATGTAAGCAAGTAAATTAAGCCGCACTAAGGAGTGACAAAAAAATTAAATAATAGCCTTCTTCTGTTAGGCGACAAAAAGTTCTGTCATTTTCGATTCTCTTTAAGCAAGTAAATGGAATTTGTTTTAAATTGTCCCGAAAGCAACTTTGATTCCAAGCAAATGACGTA